ATTCTCTTGCCTCAGCCTCCCAAGTAGCTAGGACTACAGGTGCCTGCCATGACACTCAGCCATTTTTATTTATTTATTTATTTCTGGTTATAGTTGTCATTGTTGTTTGGTAGGCCCAGGCTGGGCTTTAACCTGCCAGCTCTGGTGTATGTGGCTGGCACCCTTGCCACTGAGTTACAGGCGCCAAGCCAAAGACTTGTTTAAATTCGGCATAGAAGCCAATTATTATCTCTCTCTTTCTCTCTCGATATTTTTAAAAATAAGGGGCTTGCTTGACAGGGTGTAGTCATTCCCATTTCTTCACCCCGTCCTGTGAGTGCTGCAGTGTGGGGTACAGGAGCTCACCTGGCAGTGATGAGTAGGTCCACCCCAGCACACCTGGCCTACAAAAAGCGAGCATCTCCAGATTCGTGCAATCACATCTGCTCTTCTCCTTGCTGCAGGGCGGATGTCGTTGTGGTTACATTGAGAATCCACCACATTCTGTGAAAAATATCATTGGGGTCACAAAGCCTCCTCGGTGGGTTTGACATGTTGCCTTGTCCTCCCCCCCAAGCCCCCATGGTTCTCTGTTCAAAGGGGCTGTCACCCCTATGGCTGCTGCTTCTTTGCTACAAGACTGGAAGGCCCCCAAGCCAGCTACAGCTCACTTCCAGGAGACTGAGATGGAACTATTCTAATTTCAAGCAGTACACCCCCAAATCTGGCCATCATCATGTTTAGGGGCTTAGTTTCATCATCTGGAGGTTGACTCTGGCCCCCTTTAATGCTTCCTCCACCTGGGAAGGCACACTTTCATATCTGGCCATCCTCTTTACCACCCTCTTTTTTTTTTTTAGAGACAGAATCTCACTTTATCACCCTTGGTAGACTACCATAGCATCACACAGCTCACAGCAACCTCCAACTCTTGGACTTCAGCGATTCTCTTGCCTTAGTCTCCCAAGTAGCTGGGACTACAGGTGCCTGCCACAATGCCTGGCAATTTTTTTTGTTGCTGTTTGGCCAGGGTTGGGTTTGAACCCGCCACCCTCAGTATATGAGGCCAGCACCCTACCCACTGAGCCACAGGTGCCGTCCTTTACCACCCGCTTATTGTAGCTTTGGCCGGCAGGGCCATTCCTTCTGCAATGTGAGTGGCAATGGAGCAAAATGGAAAACTGCCATATAAATGAGGATTGCCATGTGGGTGGCCTGTCTGGACTTGGCTCTTTTGTTGTTCCCCTCATTCACATGAGGTAGGGGACAGCACTGGGTTTACACAGCTAGGGACACATGTACCACACACATATACACATGCACATGCATGCATGCACACACACGTACACATTTATATGTCTGTCATAACCATCATTGTAAAAGTTTCTCCTTCTCCAACGCACTCAACTTCCATTGGAAATTGCAACAGGTACTAGCCCAAGTCCTCACTGATACAGGTACAGTGTATCTACCACAGCCTTGCTAGTAATTGCAGTAATTTGAAACTGCCTAAACGTCCAGGAGTAGAAGAATTAAATTATGAAACATCCATATAAAATGCACTCATTGGTAAAGAATGGGGTAGATCTACCATGAAAGCTTTCTCTTCTGTTACATAAGAAAGGTAGGTTGCAAAAAATATATGCATAATAGGGTCCCATGTGCCTAACGAGATGTATAAACATCTGTTTATGTGCAGATAATATCTAAAGACACTCAACTGTAATGGTGGTTTTCTCTGGAGAATAAACAATGGTGAGGAGAATTGAAACCGGAGACCTCTTATGCATGGTTTTATACTGTCTGAAGTTTTGTGAGAATATATTGTTCTCTTGCCATTTAAAAGACACTTTTAAAAACATTTCTAAACATAAAATTTTACATTGCAATAAGCACCTTGAATACTTTAAGGGAGGCATAATCAACATAATTTTTTTAAAAAGCCCATTCAGCACTTAAGTTTGGACCCCAACAAGGGAGTGCAGTTCAACAAACACAGAACAATAGCCCCATTCATGAGCCCTCAGCCCATGCAGTGATGTGACATCTGGGGGTGAGGGACACATCACGAAGTCTGGGGCACAGTCCTTGCCCAGCAGAACTCACATGTGGGGCAGACACATGGAACAGAGAATGGCAGGTGGCTTTTAGAGTCCAGCAGCAGTGTGAGGTACACCCACCATGGGATTCAAAGTGAAAAGACAGGGGAACTCTGAAGAAATGGGAAGATGTCACATTACGGGGGCTGGAAGGTTTCAGGACAGCAACAAACAAAACAGAAGGGTCCTTCTGTAGCCCCAGCTACTCCAGAGGCTGAGGCAGGAGGACTGCTTGAGATCGGGTGTTCAAGTCCAACCTGATCAATATATCAGGACCCTATCTCTTAAAAAAAGCATATGTGTTGCACCAGGGAAAGAAGACAAAAACTGCCTCCACCCAACCATTCGCCCAGGTCACACTTACGTTAGTGAAGATCACCCAGAAGACTGGGGATGAGAGAACTGAGGTCCAAGTTCAGGAAGCACAGGAGCTGGCTCTAGGGCATTCCAAGCAGAGAGACAGCCAATGTAAGAGCCTGAAAACGCAGGCTGGATTCTACTGTTTCCAACTGCTGCTGGATTCTACAAGCCACCTGCCATTCTCTGTTCCATGTGTCTGCCCCACGTGTGAGTTCTGCTGGGCAAGCACTGTGCCCAGGCCTGTAAGAATGCAGCTTCAGGTGCATGGGAAAGGCTGAGGCAGGAGCCTGGGGCAGAGGCTGGCAGGAGCCAGCACCCACTGGCTGGTAAACTGAGCCAGATGTCTGAGTTTCCATGTAGCGGTGCAGGTCATGGGAAGCTGCAGGAGTGACACTGCTAATCTTCTTATGAGAATAATTTTTATAGCAAGATGGCTGGATGACTGGTCAGGACATAAACTTGTGTAGAGGCTGTTGCAATAGCCCCAAGAAGGGATGAGACTGGGGTGAGTTTAGCTGCCTGGCAAAAGCCCCAAAGGGTGTGGTCAGCAGATCACTGCCAGCTCTACTCAAGGCCTAGCTACCTCAAGTGCTGTGGAAGTCTCCCTGGGGGAGGGAGAGGGCCCTTCCTCGGTGAACTGCAAACACCTGGACTGCCTTGCCAGAGGTCCCAAGAAGTGGGCAGGTCACTAATTCCTCTCTTCCTTTTCAGCACTCAATGCCCGTTTTGCAAAAAGCTCCAGGGTGACATTGCAAGAATGCTTTGAGTAAGGGCAAAGGAAGGGACTGCCTCTCCTTTCCTGCCCACTCTCACCCTCCCTTCTTGACCTCTTTAATCTCCCTTTATCCTCTCTCTCTGCCCTTCCCACAAGACAGTTATTTCTAAGGGCCATTCCCACGCCCTTTTCTTCATTCCCAAATCTGCAGTTTTCAACTGCCCCCTCTGCTGGGTAAGGCTGCCTCGATAGCCCCATTCGTGGCCCTCAGCATCTTAACAGAGCTGGAAGGTGACAACTGTGAAAAGGAGGGCGACTCTTCCAGATCCTCCACGGTGGGGGCTTTGGGTGACATCACATCCTTCAGACGGGAAATCAGGCTCTGTGGCCAGCCGAAGGACGCAACTCCCCCCACCCCCACCCCCTCCGCCCACTTCCGCGCCCCACCAGCTTCAGTGAGTCTCCCCTAACCCCTCTCGTCCTAGCTGAGCAGCGCCCTGGGGAGTGCGCCATGGCCCTGCCGGTAGCCTCCTTGCTCCTGCAGCTGGCCCTGCTGCTCGGTGAGTTTGCGCCGTCGGGGAAGGTAGGGGGGACTTGGAGCCCGGTGGCGCGGGACTCCGGCTCAGCCTTGCTGCCTGCCGCCTGCAGATGCCGTCGCGGTGGTCCAGCCGAGCCAATTCAGGGTGTCGCCGCGGGATCGGACCTGGAACCTAGGCCAGTCAGTGGAGTTGCGGTGCCAGGTGCTGCTGGCCAGCTGGTCATCGGGCTGCTCTTGGCTCTACCAGCCGCCGGGCTTAGCCGCGAGCCCCACTCATCTCCTGTACATCCCCCAAAACTCGCGCAAGGAGGTCCACGTGCTGGGCTCTGAGCGGTTCTCGGGCGAGAAGATCGGCGACGGCGCCTACAGTCTTACCCTGAGCGGCTTTCGCAAGGAGGACCAAGGCTATTATTTCTGCTCCGTCCTAAGCAATTCCATAATACACTTCAGCCCCTTCCTGACGGTTTTCCTGCCAGGTCTGAGAGCGGGGCGCGGCACCTCCCAGCGTGGGGCTTGGGGTCACCTCAACTTTCACGGACGCCTCACTTTCAAGACTCTCAGAGCACCTGGAAACTAGTTAGGTGGTTCCCATTTTACAGACGAGCAAACTGCAGTGCGACTGTGTTAAAAACTGGACATGGCTTTTTAACGTCTGGGCGATCTGTGCTCCAGTTCGGGTGCTTGTGTGGTTGTGGGCAAATTTCTTAAATTCTCTGCACCTCCATTTGCTCGTCGGTAAAATGCAGATGTCAACCTGAGTTCCCGGGGTTGCTGGTTCCCGGGGTGGAGAGCAGGGGGGCCCTGCGCTAAGGTCAGGAGCGCAGCGTGAGCCGGGCTGAGCGGCAACCCAGGCTACCGCGCCCGGCGAGAAGGGGTCCGCTCGTACCCGGGAACCACCCTCGGATAAAGAAAAGGAGCGTAGGCCGGGGCTGGGGCGCGTTCGCAGCCCCAGCCCAGTCCCCGATCGCGGTCTGTTGCCTCTGCAGCAAAGCCCACCACTATGCCAACGCCGCGACCACCCACGCCGCCGTCCTCTACCACTTCGCAGCACAGATCCCTGCACCCAGAAGCTTGCCGGCCCGCAGAGGGCAACGCAGGTAAGTCGGGCAGGCCCAGGCTAGAAGCGGCACAGACGGCGGATAGAGCCCCTGCCACCCGCAGCCCTAAAACCGGTAGAAGAGCCGAGGGTTACGTGGTGTGGAAACCAAGATCCGGGTGGAGAGACATGCTGGGACGGCAGGAGATGGGGGGCCTGAGCCTGAATGTTGGCGTCTTGGGTGTTGTCAGTGGACAGGAGGGGGCTGGACTTCGCCTGTGATCTCTACATCTGGGCGCCCTTGGCCGGAACCTGCGGGGTCCTTCTCCTGTCACTGGTCATTACTGTCATCTACAACCACAGTGAGTCCTGAGGAATCACAACGGGCAGGAATCTGTCCTAATCCCGCCTAGGCGCTGCTCACGACCTTGGTGACCTTGGGGGGCTCCCCCTCGGGAGGACCTTTCTCCCTGCCCCTCCCTTTCCTCCCCATGAGTCCCCCATCCAGCTTTGGGACCCCAGCAGAGCTGGCTCCAGTCAGCAGGTTCCCCATGTTCAGCCACATCTGTATTTGCCATGGTTTTTAAATTGATGCCTGAAAGAGGGATGGAAAAGAAACCCTAACCTGGATACTCCAGAGATATAATCCTCAAAGAAAAGGGAAGGAGAAACCGTATGTGGGGACTATTGTGTGTGCATGGGGGTGTGTGCTCACTTTTCCTTCTTTTTCATTCTTTAGGGACCCGAAGACGTGTTTGCAGATGTCCCAGGTGAGTCTCTTAAACTCTGGGCCTGCCCGCCCCGGGCATCCCTTGGCCAGGGTCCTGGCTCCCCCAGCACAGTGGTGGGAACTTTTCCCAGAGGGAGGTCTTGGCAGTGGAGTCCTGGGGCGGAAGTCAGCTAGTCCCTGAAGAGAGAGAGGCAGAAGGCTGGCAAGGCCTCGTGCATTCTTGAGAAAATGGAGGCGCACGTTGTCCTGGGGGGGGGGGGAGCAGTGTGACTTCAGTAAATCTCAGTCTTGTCTAGCACCAAAAACCCCATCTGAGGACTTCCCCAATTCATCCTATCTCCTCAAAGGACCTGAGATCCTCTTTATTTGAATGATTCCATGTAGATTTTGTTATTTTCTTTTCTTTTTTTTTGATACAGTCTCACTTTGTCACCCTTGGTAGAGTGTCATGGTGTCATAGCTCACAGCAACCTAAAACTCTTGGGCTTAAGCGATTTTCTTGCCTCAGCCTCCCAAGTAGCTGGGACTACAGGTACCTGCCACAATGCCAGGCTAGTTTTAGAGATGAGGTCTCACTCTGGTCTCCAACCTGTGAATTCAGGCAATCCACCTGTCTTCGCCTCCCAAGTGCTGGGATTACAGGCATGAGCCACCGCACCTGGCTGCATTTTATTATTTTCTTGAGAAAATCATTTTATTTTTCCTACTTGCCTGGTCTAGTTTTTTGAGGGCGAACCAATCTTTTATCACCTTAACCAAATACATAATGGCCTCAGTTCCTAATTTCCCTCTATTCATGTAGGGCCTTGATTTACTGCCAAGGACTGGGGCAGACAAAGGGAAACAAGAGGCAGGGACAATTAGCTATCTGGCAGCTCAAGTGACTGCCCATTCAATTCTAGCCCGTAATCATTATGAAATGATCAGGAAAAAGACCCGCACTATTAAGAGAAGCCTCGGTCTCCTCTGTCCTTCACCTTCAGGCTGAGGCAGTCCTATGGTAGCACTTAACAAATGTCTGCTTTAGCCAGCCGCCATGATAAGGGTTGTACTTGGGATCTCTTAATCCTCATAGCAACCTTGTGTGGTAGATAGTACTGACGCTTTTCACAGGTCACAAGCTCAGATATTAGGAAACCTACCTAAGGTGGCAAAGGCACAATTATACTCGTATTATCAATTATAAAAAATAACAAGTTGATGAAAGCCTACAGTGTAGAAGTAACTTGCTTTATGTGTGTCAAGTTTCATAACAACCTTTAAAGCAATTACTATGACCTCCATTTTACAGATAAGTATACTGAGGCTTAGGACATTCAGGGATCCATCCAGGCCATACTACCAGCAAATAGCAAGCCTGTAACTTCCATCCAAACTCAGGTTCCTTCCTGTGCCCGAGGGCTAGGGTGGAGGATGTTAAAGAACCACGTATATATGACAGTTCCTTTCAGTAGACAAAAAAAGTTCAAATTTTATCTGTGGGGCTTGCATTTTATACCCCTTTGTGGCATATGTTATAGTTGCTATACAACAGAGATAAAGACTCTTTAAGAGAAGAGCCAGGCATAGTGGCTCAGGCCTATAATCCTAGCACTCTGGGAGGTTGAAGGAGTTTGAGACCAGCCCCAGCAAAAGCAAGACCTCCATCTCTAAAAAATAGCTGGGATATGGTGGGCATCTGTAGTTCCAGTTATGTGGGAGGCTGAGGCAGGAGGATCACTTGAGCCCAGGAGTTTGAGGTTGCAGTAAGCTGGGATGATGCCACTGCACTCTACTCAGAGAGACAGGCCAAAATGCTTTCTCAAAAAAATTTTAAAAAGACAAGATTTTTAGCATTTTCATTGCCTGGGGTGTAGTTGGAAGCTTTTGCAAGAGAATCATCTCTTAACCTATTTTCTGAAAACTCTCATTTTGAGGTAAATAACTGAGAATAAAACTTTGCCTTAAAATACAAAGCTTTGTGGATTAAAAGTAGCTGAGAAATTCACACATCTGGAAGTTAATATACTGAGTGATGGTGGTTAGCACAGTTTCAATAGAGAGAGGACTGAGGGTAGACATGGCACTCATGACGAATTAGCCTGTTTAGTAGGAGGCTGCCCAGTATTAAATTAACACACATTTTTAGCGTAGTATTAAGTTTGTGTTTTCAAAGGGACACACATAGATGAAGCAGCTCCACTTAGGTGATGGTGGTGGTTTGCTCTCACATCCTCCTTTCTCCCTGTGACCCTCCAGGGCTGAGAATCAGGTCAGCTGTTGACTTTTGGTTGTCAGGCTCATTCTCTCACTTCCAGGAGCTCCAAGAAGCTAGATAAACTCTGTTCAGTTCCTGGCTCAGCCACCTAGTTGTGTGACCTTGGGCACGTTCAACCCCTCTAGCCTCTCAAGCCCCATGCTTACCTCCTAAGGCTGCTGTGAGAATTAAACCAGAAGGTGCTAGTAAGGCCCTCAGCAGAGTTGCTGAAGTCATTCACCTAGTGCCATGCTGGTGCCCTAGGGACCGGTTCTCAGGCTCCTCAAAAGCAGGGGGTTGGGGGTTAGGCACGGATGGATGCTGCACAGAGGGGCTGGGAAGGGGCCGTCCCCGCATCTATGGTTGCCTGCTTCTCTTTCAGGCCTGTGGTCAGGACGGGAGGCAAGCCAAGCCAAGCAGAGAGATATGTTTAACCCTGTGTGACAGCCACTACATGACTTCAAACTGAGATCTCTTCTTAGAAGGGAAGCAAGTCTTTCTCTTTCACTTTTTTCCAGTTTTCCTTATGTATCTGTTCATTCATTCATGTTGGGGTGGGGTTGGAAGGGTTACTTTTTCTTTAAATGTTTGCTGAAGAACAGAATCATGTAACGTCTCTGCTACATTGCAAGGGTCACAATATCGTTGTGCACACATATTGGGGTAAAGGGCGGAAAGGGGCCTGCCAGAGCTACTTGAGAGTTTCGTTCTCGGAATCATGCAGAGAGAGCTGAAGGTGGCTGGGGCATGCACTCACTCTGAACTTCATCATCTATTTTACAAGTGGAGAGGCTAAACCCCAGGAATGGGAACAGCTTGATACATACAGCTTGAGTCATACAGCATATCAAGGTTGGCACCAGAGAAACCTTACCTCCCAGCTCTTCCTTCATTCCATACATTCTTCCAAAGGTCTCTGTCTCTTTGTGTGTGTGTGCACGCGGATGCATGCGTGTGAGAGAGAGTGTATGTGTGTTTATGTCTCAAACTGCAAGGGAAGAAGTATTTCTTGAGCACCTATGATGTAGCGGTTACTGTACCCAGAGACTAGCAGAGATAATGAAATAAAACAAGAGAACTTCTGCCTTTAATAGAGTTCAGTAATATAGATGAACAACATCAGACATTTTATAATCCACCATGAAATTGTATAGATAGTATGAATAAAGTGTAGGGGTGAACTGAATCCTGGAAAATACATCCCTCCATCTTTAAAGAAAATGTGAAAAATCTTCCCTCCATAGAGGCAAGATTGCTCTCCTGGTCCCAGCCTTGCAGGGGGACCTGTGAAAGAGAAGGGGCTGCCCCTTTACAAAGGTAATCTGAGCATCAGTTAAGTTGAACGGAGATCCTCTGGAATCTCTACATTTGAGATACCAGATTTGAATATGCTCCTGGAATCACTGATGACTTTTTACATTTTGTAAAGATAGAATTGTTGGAGAGCTGCCAGCACGGCCCTGGCCTCTGTTTTACCAGCAGATGTGGGCATAATGCAAATTCTCCTAAGGAGGCCAAAAGCCAAAACTGTTTCCCCAAATGCACATTTCCTCTTTTACAGTGTTGCACACGTGAAGCCTGATTGTTGAGAAAAAAGCTTACATAGTTAAGGAAATGAGAATCGCCTATAGTTCTTTACCTCAGGTATAATTCCCGATTAATATTATAGTGTACATTCTTCCTGGGTACTTTTGATGCATATTATATAAAATATGTGCTGAGTTTTTAAAAATGTGATTGTACTATGCCTTTATAAGTAACTTTAATGAATAAACATTTATAGTACCCTCTTTTTAATGGCTATATTGCATTCCAGTTTTGGTTGTGCCATGACTTATTTAACTATTAGCTGGTATTTGTTTCTAACTTATCCAACCACTATAACAACACTACTAAAATTCTGCACACATCTGTTTCTTTTGGAAACATACCAAAAAGTAAAATTATTGGGCCAGTCCCCACCTTCTCCCTGGACCCCCTCCCCCCATTTTCACATCAATCTAAACAGATTAGCCTCTTCCTCCATCACCTTCCCTCCTTTTGTTCTTTCTTTGTAACAGATGTGATTGTATTTCTCTCATAATAAATCACGAAATCTTCATCTTGTTGAAGTTAAAAAAAAAAAAAATATATATATATATATATATACACCAAAAAGTGCAAAAGTGTACTGGTCGATGGCATCATACAGTGAACACACGCATACAACCAGCAAGTGAAAAATAGAAACTACCAGTCCTCCAGATGCCTGCCTTTCACTTCTTTAGTTTATAAAACAAAGATACTTTGAGAGAACTGAAAAGCAGGACAATTAACCTGTGAGAAGGCAGAAGAGAAAGCTGAGAAACTTCCTATGCCGCCTTCTCCCTGACCCCATTCAGCAGATCAGAGCCAGGAGGTACCCTAGGGCTGAGGACCAGCTTGGTGAAGATGTCAGTTTGTTGTTGTTTTTGAGACAGTCTAACTCTATTGCCCAGGCTAGAATGCCATGGCATCAGCCTAGCTCACAGCAACCTCAAACTCCTGAGCTCAAGTGATCCTCCTGCCTCAGCCTCCCTAGTAACTAGGACTATAGGTGCCCACTACAATGCCTGGCTAATTTTTTGTTTTTAGTAGAGACAGGGTCTTGCTCTTGCTCAGGCTGGTCTTCAATTCCTGAGCTTACGTGATCCTCCCGCCTTGACCTTCCTGAGTGCTAGAATTATAGGTATGAGCCACTGTGAGGGTGCCAATTTTTTTTTTTTTTTTGAGAAAGCGCCTCAAGCTGTCGCCCTGGGTAGAGTGCCATGGCATCAATCACAGCTCACAGCAACCTCCAACTCCTGACTTAAGCGATTCTCTTGCCTCAGCCTCCCAAGAAGCTGGGACTACAGGTGCCCACTACAACACCCAGCTATTTTTTTATTGTAGTTGTCATTGTTGTTTGGCAGGCCCAGGCTGGATTTGAACCCACCAGCTCTGGTGTATGTGGCTGGTGCCTTAGCTACTTAAGCTACAGGTGCCAAGCCTAGGGTGCCAATTTTTGACCCTCTTGTGGCAGTAGGGTCTGAGCTCCAGGTTGTCTCTGGATTCCCTAGGAAGGATGAGGAGGAGCATCCTGCAACAGGTCAAACTTGTGAAGATGGCCATGGAGCACCTATGTCCGAGAGTCCGGGCCAGGGCAAAAACAAGGAAAGGGCCTTCCTGTCATGGTAGCATTTCTTCTCTAACCTTAAGCTCAAGTGAGAGCAGAGGGGCTGCACTTGTTTTGCTGAACCAGGGAGTCCATCTGCCTGCTACCCAAGCCAATCAATGCAGAAGCAGATGAGAGATTAACAATTCCACTTTTATTTACAGAAAAGCCAGCAATTCCAGAGAACAGTGAGAATATCTCCTGAAAGCGTTATTCCACTCTCCTGTTTCTCTGTTACTTTTATATTCTTCACAGTAAAAGCATCAGCAATGTCATTAATCATGATAGTATACAATAAACAGATTCCTCCTAATTGGTGAGGTAGGAGATTCCTCCTACAATACCCTTCTATTGTAAAGTGGTTACACCTTCAAAGCATTCCTACTCTAGACTACATTTATAGTCAGTCAAGTGCATTACTAAGTGCACTTTGTGCACTGGGTCCTTGACTGGCACTATGGTCCTTGGCATATCCAGTTTCTTAACTTCATCTTGGATGTGAACAAACAATCCCAGATGTTAGCACATAGCCTCATAAGGCCTTGCCAGGGCCTGTCCAGCAGCACCCTGTATGGAATGGTCATTCAGGATAACAGTGGCTGCCATCACTTGGGAGACTCTGGAGGGGGTTAAATACTTGCTGGTTTTTTCTTAGACCCTTAAAAAAATGATTTCACTTACCACAAATAAAGTGGTAAATAATTTGGAAATTAAATAACATCAATATAGGAAAAAACATTAAAGCTGGCTCTCTGGACCAAGAAGAAAATAGAAAGCCAATCTGTAGATCATGCAGGCCTTAAACACACTAAAGGTAGGCTGTGGATTTAGGCATATGGGTCAGTGGTGGCCACAGCATCCAACCTGTTTGCGTTATACTACATACACAAGCACCCCACACTTCAAGGCTGCCAGCCTCAGGCCCAGCAATATTTCATTTGCCAGTTGGTTAGCCTGAAACATAGGTTATACAAATCTTCTTGCTATGTGGAAGATGTCCATACACATGTTTTTTTTTACCCCACAAAACAGAAGTAGATAAATGATTCCTTTATTATGCCATAAACTTGGTATGGGCTGGTTAGAACTTAGGGTCAATGTGGTTCATTTAACAAACATTCATTTAACAAAATATATCCTATTTGTAGAATAAAAAAGCCAAAGAGAGATCGCTTCTCGGCCTTTTGGCTAAGATCAAGTGTAGCCAAAGAAAGAAATTTGTCATTTCCTTCTCCTGTCATTAAATTGCTTTTAAGAGAGCCCACCAGTCTCTTGGAAATCCCCAAAATCTTCACCAGCAGGCCAAGATGTTTCCTTTGCTGAAGTATCCCTTCCTCCTGCTCTGGGCCTGTGTGCAAATCCTCAGCACACAGTTTTATGACTACCTGGGATAGGCACCATGTAACTGCTCCTACAAGCAGTGTTTGTCCACTAGAGAGAACTGAAGGAAGTCACAATAGCATAGCGGTTAAATGCAGAAACTCTAAACCAGCCTCTAGGCTCTGCTACTTAACTGCGTTTTTTTTTCTGGCAAGTGACTCACTGTCTTGATAACTCAGTTGTCCCACTTGTAAAATGGGGGAAGATAACAGTCTCTACCTCAAACAGACCATTATACTTTATACATATATTTTTTAATTACCTAGACCAGCTCCTGGAACATAGTAAGCAAACAGTAAATGTATGATGAAAAAATGACTTTGTACTAAATTTTTCAAAACCAGGGTCTTATTGATTACACTCTGAATCTAGCCTCATGTCTGATTCTTCCCGTTTCTATTCTCCCCAAAAGGGCAGACAGTAGCCCTTCCTGATGGATATGTTATTACACATACCCAGCAATCGTAGCACCCCAGTGCACAGGAGGGTGATCCTTCATGGGTGCCTCACAAGAGCTCAGTCCCAGACAGACTCAGATCCAACAGCACTGTGTCATTTGAAGTTCCTCAATCCTGAGTGCCCGCACCACACTCTGCTGTTGCCACCTATGGCTATCCATTCTAGGAGGATGCTCTGGGCAACTGGAGAAGGCTGGGCAGCATAGGGAAGGAATGTGCTGTCATTCTGCCATCTCAACATCTACTGAAGTCCCCCTTTCCCTTTGGACAGCTCTTCTGTGCACACCAGTTACCAATTTCTCTTTTCTGTTCCCCTTTAGCTGATCCTTTCTTTCTGTTTTTCTTTTGAAACAGAGTCTCCCCATGTAGCCCTTGGTAGAGTACTGTGGTGTCACAGCTCACAGCAACCTCCAACTCTTAGGCTTAAGCGCTTCTCTTTTTTTTTTTTTTTTTTTGAGACAGAGCCTCAAGCTTTCCCCTGGGTAGAGTACCATGGCATTACAGCTCACAGCAACCTCCAACTCCTGGGCTCAAGCGAGTCTCCTGCCTCAGCCTCCCAAGTAGCTGGGACTACAGGCGCCCGCCACAACGCCCGGCTATTTTTTGGTTGCAGCCATCATTGTTGTTTGGCGGGTCCGGGCTGGGGATTCGAACCCACCACCTTAGGTGTACGTGGCTGGCGCCTTAGCCGGTTGAGCTATCGGCGCCGAGCCTTAAGCGCTTCTCGTCTCAGCCTCCCAGTAGCTGAGACTACAGGTGCCCGCCACAACACCTGGCTATTTTTCTGTTGCAGTTGTCATTGTTGTTTAGCAGGCCCAGACCAGGTTTGAACCTGCCAGCCCGGGTATATATGGCCAGTGCCTTAACTACTGAGCTGTGGGCGCTAAGCCATCCCCCTTTAGCTGATTATAGAATGAAAATGTCATGTGACTTTTCTTTCACTGAATGGCTACCAGTTATTTAGCATTCACCGCAGGTCAGTATCTTAGGTCTCATTAAAACTGTGAGGCAGTAACTAGTATCATTACACTATTATCATTATATTTTATGGGTGAGGAAATTGAAACCATAGAAAGTTTCCACCACTTGCCTAAGATCACACACACACACATTATGGTGGGATTGTGGGATCAGGATTGGAACCCAATTGAATCCTATAGCCCAAGGTCTTCACTGCTTGCACTGCTATCCTAAATATTTTAGTCTTTTATTTTTTTTTTTTTTTTGGAGACAGTCTCAAGCTGTCACCCTCGGTAGAGTGCTGTCACATCACAGCTCACAGCAACCTCAAACTCTTGGGCTTAAGCAATTCTCTCGCCTCAGCCTCCCAAGTAACTGGGACTACAGGCGCCCACCACAAGGCCTGGCTATTTTTTTGTTACAGTTGTCATTGTTTAGCTGGCTTGGGCCGGGTTCTAACACACCACCCTCGGTGCATGTGGCTGGTGCTGTAACCACTGTGCTATGGGCACCAAGTTGATATAGTCTTGTTTTTGATTTTAAAATCAGGTAAATGAAACACTTCAAAACTCTCTAAAAAATCAATAGTCATCTTGAAACCAAAGATACTTTCTTACTTGACTACCTGTTTTGAAATGAAACGAGGGGGAAGGAGCATCAGGTGTGGGGACCAGATGTCAGGTCTGTGTTCCTTGGTTCTTAGTTCCTGGTACCAACAAATGGTTTCTGGTACCAAGTCAATGGAATAAATGAACAAGACAAACAGATAGAAGCAAGACCTCCCTATAAGGACCTCTTCTCTACTTTTCTATACTTGCCAGCAGGACACAGCAAGTTTCCATCTCAGTTCCTTGCACATAATAGGTACTTAAAAAATCTCATGACTCAGTAAAGATGTCATACCACATGTTAAATATTTTCTCCATTTATCTTACATGTCTAAGTAGCCAATATTTAGCATGAAGCCCCTTGCAGGAGTAGGGAACTTGCAGCTTTCTGATTTCAGTATCATTTTTTTCTAAGAACCAAAGGAGGCAAGAAAAGCTTCATCTTTCTGCTGTATTCCTTTTGATAAAAGGATTTGATATATAAAATCTTTGATTCAGTTGAAAGGCTGCACTTAGGGACCAGGAAAGCTGCAAGTTTCTTTAAGGCATCAGGTCTCCCATGTCATATTGCAACATTTACCAGCATAGAAGTCTCGGGCGTATACAAAATCCCTCTTCCATAAGGCAAGTTTTTCTCAGCTAAAGGAGAAATACTTTCTATTACATATGCATTGAGATTTCAAAGCGATCTTGTGAACAGGTTCATCATTGCATCATTGTCTTTTCATGCAAGGTTTATCAAACAGTGGCCCACTAGAAGGTCATAATGTCAAATTAGTCTTGATGAGCATTAAAAATAGAAAATAGAGAATATCACACATTTATAAGCATAAAATATTTTCTAAAACCTTTCTCAGTACTATAAACTTCATGTATACAGAGTTATAATATTAAATTTATTCTTACGGTTGCTGAAGGAGAAAAAGGTAGGCAAGCCTGTCTTGCTGGGATATTGTTTATTATCAAGTTTCTCTACGGGAGGAGGAGAGGCATCAAGCTACTATTTTGTTTCAAGGTACATTTTTAGTTGTTACTTTGCCGTTACAAAAATCCATTGTTTCTGGGCAGCGCCTGTGGCTCAGTGGGTAGGGTGCCGACCCCATTTACCAAGGGTGGTGGGTTCAAACCTGACCCTGGCCAGCTAAACCAGCAGAAGCAAATGCAACAAAAAATAGCCGGGTGTTGTGGTGGGCGCCTGTAGTCCTAGCTACTTGTGCAGGCTAAGGCAAGAGAATTACTTAAGCCCAAGCGCTGGAGGTTGCTGTGAGGTATGTAATGCCACAGCACTCTACAGAGGGTGACAGAGTGAGACTGTCTCAAAAAAAAAAAAAAAGTCCATTGTTTTGCATCTTTGCCTTCCCCTTTTTGCTGCAGAGGGAGTGGAAAAGTATTAGCATGCTGCAAATACCACACTCACTCAACTACCTATTGCTTAAAGAAATTCACTGATTTTTTAAAATAACTAAACTAAAACAGTACAAAGCACACTAAGTTTTTTCCTTGATGTCTCAAGACTTAATCATCAAGAAAAAGATAAATTGGCTTAGCACCTGCAGGTCAGTGGTTAGGGTGCCAGCCACATGCATCGGGGCTGGTGGGTTTGAACCCAGCCCGGGCCTGCTAAACAAACAAACAACCAAAAAAATAGCTGGGCACAGTGGCGGGCACCTAAAGTCCCAGCTACTTGGGAGGCTGAGGCAAGAGAACCGCTTGAGCCCAAGAGTTGGGAGGTGGTTGTGAGCTACGATGCCACAGAACTCTACAAAGGGCAACAAAGTAAGACTGTTTCAATTTAAAAAAAAAAAAGGGAGAAAAAATAAAAGGATAAATTGGTCTTCCCTTACTAGCCAGGTAGTAGACTGTCTGCTTGTAAAATAGATACCAGTGTTTGCTTAAGAAAAAAAAAAGATAGAGATCAACATACTACACAGAATTTATCTTTATGCGCTACATTTAAAAGGAAGGCTCACGTAAAACAGGAAGTCTCCAACAGGATCCTGGCAAGGGAAGCCAGTTTTCTCATGACCATGCAGGTTTTGACTCCATACATCTGGGCTGTGGCCTGAGCTGCTGAATTTCTCACAAAGTCCCAGATGATGCTGATGCTGCTGAACCACGAATGACACTTCAAGTGCTGGAGAGCCCGAATGCTGCAGGGAAAGTTGGTACCAAGGCCTCTTCTAGGTTCTCACAGGTAGGAAATTATTCTAAAATTTCAGATAAGACAAAGTGTATCTCTAAAACCATACGTAGGTCGCTATGAAAGTGACCATAGATGCCACCCACAGATAGTGTTATGGTCCATTACTTCCAAGAAACACAGTCACAGAGTCCTTTCTCATTCACCTACTCGTTTCAACTTGCTCAGCTTTTCTGTGTTGCTGAGATGACTTCATTTGTTTCTGTCTGTGCAGATTTCATGTTTCAATTTTGTTAATCTCAAAACTTTCTTAATGACCCATGTATACAAAAGGAGCGCAAATATAAATTCTTGGCCCCTACCACCTTAGGTAGTCACCGAGTAGGATAGGCCGTTCAGCCTCTGTTCCTCCTGGAAATGCTGAGGGCACACGCCCCACCCCACCAGCAGGCTGGACACTAAGCTGCTTGCAGCTCCTACTGCCGGTCATAAACTTACTGTGGTCAGAGCACAGGATGGGTGAGCCCAGAAAATAAGACAACTCAAGACCTAGAAACTCAGGATGGTGGCCAGCCACCTCTTCTCACACTGTTGGTGGCACAGTAACAGAATAAAATGGTCACAAAGATTAAAAATAATTTCTTTACAGGGAGATTCTCAGCAAATGCAGGCAGCAATTTTCTCACAATTGGCACCCCTATCCTCCCCCCCTCATGCCCTTGTCACCTAGCACATCACACAGACTGGTTCCACAAAACACTTTTACAATGTGCATTTCTTTAATTTTTAAAAATATACACAGGAGAAGCCATGTGTTTTACATAGGAATACACACATTAAGAAAGCATTTCTTATAGTTTTCCAAAACTCTATTTATTAATCAGTCTGAAATTATAAATTAAATGTCAGAATTTTTAAAGTTAAATGGAATCCCTAAAACTACCAGATATGCTAGATGTTTTCTAAAATCAAATGAACAGAGAATATGAATATGGTTTGTGTTAAATAAGGTTTATTGTTAGCTTTATTGCCTATAGTCTATAAGATGCAACTTTATTGTGCCTTTGCAAACAGGATACATTTCTTAAAAAACTGATCAAAATTTTCCATACATATAGCTCTATATGATAGATTACAGTGCAACACTATTCTTGTTACATAATTATAGAAATACTATAGAACCCAAGAGCACAGGGTAAGCAAAAGAAATACAATCCTGAGCCATCTGAACAAGATGATTGGATGGAACTTTTTAGTGTAAGTTCAGAAAACACAGAGGAGGAAAAAAATACATGCACACTGCAGTCATGAGCAAAATACATCAAACACCTGCTCCTTGTTAGGTACAGGTGGGGCAAATGGTGAATCTCAGACACATGCACACTCACTCACACTCCCAATTTCTTCTCCTGCTTCCCTCCCAGTCCTAATACATTCACTCCCACCCCTTCCCAAAAGAAAAGATCAGGCACTAAATCCTAGTGAACCCCACATCTGCCTTGCTCGAGAAGGTTAAGTGACTGCTAAAATAAGAGTGTAGGTCCTCACCCACAACAGGAAACAAAGCATGTGCTGTAAGCCAGTTCCAGCTGCTTTTGCCTCTGTGGAAGTAAATGAAGCCTATGCCCACTATGGGTTAAAACTGTAGAGGAAATGTCTTAAAACTGTTTCTCTCACTATGTCTTGAAGTAAAATCAACCAGCCTCATCAGTTATTAAAACACATATGTCATTCTATTTTTGGTATTCTATTCAATTTAGCTGATTAATAGTTCATGAAGCCTGTAGCTGTTTGTAGTACACACTACTGTACCACATAAAACCTGCCACGTGTGGACAGGCTTATGAAACCCCAGAACTGCTCTATGTGTTCTTTACTAACATTCCCTCAAGACCACAGCATTCTAGTCACCAAAGATGGTGTATGTAAAGTAATGAAAGGTATTTGGTTTGTGTTGTGTCACCTTACACACCCTAGTGATGAAACTGACCAAACCATGCCTCCATGCCTTCCCTGAAAATGACCTGAGTCGGCTGACTAAACAGACTGAGCAGCGTGGCTGTCAGTCCACTTGATCAGAGGTTGAGCTGAAAAACCAGAATGCTAGTGTAGTCTCCCAGCAGCTTGTCTTGTGTGGATAACCAAGAATTCTTGGTTTCTGCAATATCCACTGTCCCAAAGGCTAAAACCACTGACGCCGAAATAACTTACAGCATGAAGAATACTGAATTTAAACTGCATAACCTGTGGGACCACCTGGAGAGATAAAAAAGGATCCTCTTTCCCCACAAAATGTAGTGTGGGTTCTAGTGTCTCTGTATACATTAGCTGCTACAGAAGAAGTTTAAACAAAAGATTCACTTCATAATTTTCTTATTTTCAATTAAATGCTACACATAAAATACACACCCTATGAATATGAGGTGGCTCTTTTCTTCAAAATTTTTAAAATAAAGAGGCACCAATACCCGTTCATTTATGTTCATTAGAAGTCTCATATAATCACCAATAACAAAAATGGCATCTGTGATGATCACAAAGGAAGAAAAAAGATCAAAAGACAACCTTAGCCACTGTAAAGACTATACTTGAAAACACAGATGCTCTGGCTAAAGATCTGATAAGGTTTTATTGGTTTAGCATAGTCCCATGGCCTCTGTCCACAACGGATAAATGGAAATGGTTCCCAAAGAAATGTAAGAAACCATTCTGAAATTGTTTAATGTATATTATAATTATGCTGTCTATAAAAAATCTTTTCTCTATCATTACCTTTTCCAAGTGGAGGAAGAGAGGGACAAATAGCATCCTCTCGCACTGCTGACGTGCAGACAGCACGAGCCATGATATGGTGGTAACCACTTGTGACGGTGGTGTTACTTCCTACTTTCTAGAGTAGGAAGGACAGAACACTGTACTTCAGCATCTTTGGTTAAGATTTGCCCTCGTCAAATCCACCTCTCCTTCATTTAGTCTCCAATGAATTTTAAGTCCATGCACTTGAAGATGGTCACAAGAAATAAGTTTCTCTTGTTAAATTGTCAGATCAACAGTTTCATATTTTTGGCCCTTACACTGCCCAGTAGGACTACAAGGACCTTACACAGAAAGTTATAAAGTCACACGCTTTAGTTAAAACATGTTTCTTCATAAAGTTTTCAGAAGCTGCACAGAAAACCATCAACAGGACTCCCAACACTGGGAGAAGGACAAAACTCAGAAGTGGCCTGAGCCAACTGTGTGAAGGATTTGGCTACTAAACATTTATACCAACCTCTAGAACACGTCTGTATCATTCAAACCTAGGTGAAGCCTAAATGTTGCGCAGGTGTTTGGAATAGAAAGGTGAGAATAAGTTCTAAATAAAGTTAAACTAGGCCTAGGGAGGAAAAGGTATGTTTGAATTAAAACCTAGAATGTCTTTAAAAAACAAAGGAAAAAAATATATATAATAAACCAGTTTACACCCTTAACCAGAGTGTTGCCTAGAATTTTCTACCTTCTCTTTTGCAGCCCAAGGAGCTTGTCTCTGCTCTTTTCCTTCACTGCTTTCGTGGACAGAGGGGAAAACTTTATAGAGCAGCGGTTCTCAAGAACTGTACTAAAGGGCTGCGGCATTAGGAAGGTTGAGAACCACTGTTATAGAGGAGTCCAACGGTGAAGCAGAATCATGGGGCAAGAGGCATTGTGGGGCCAAACTGAGGTTGGACAAGGCAAGCACTGAACTGGGCCAGTCACAATTCCTGGCTAACCTACACAGCACACAGTAGGCATCTACACAAGCCTGACCACACGGTGATTAAGCAGGGCTTTTCTGAATACCCTTTTCCTTCACAAACAAATGCTCCCAAGTAAGCATTTCAGGATAAACCATCCAGGTTGACAGACTACTGCAAATGCTGCCAGCTTCCAATTAACTTAGCACCAAATCTGTTATCCCCCCTCCCTCAAACTAAGTCCACAAGAAAAAGTGAAGTGTCACATTTCTTTGCTTCTGTTTTCTTCTTTTTTCATTTTCTCATGAAAGTACTCCTATATTGATACTCAGTTCCATGTCAGATGAGATAAAGTCGCAAAATATTTGGTGATTTCCATATAACATTCTTCTAATGAAGTAACTTCGTGAGTTTGAGTCAGAATTATGTCCACAGAAGTCTTTCCATGTAGTTCATCATACAAAGAAAGAGTCTTACACATGGCTATTTCTGGACAGTGCATTAAATGAAGATACCTCACAAGAGAAAAGATCATTATCTGTATCCATTAGAATAATATACAGATTCACAGTCAATGAGATGATACGCTCTGCAGAAGAGAGGCATTGAACAGGATACTACTCAAACACAAAAACAGCAATAAACATATTCTGAACTACAGAAAATCTGCTAGCTTCTAACTTTAAGGATTTAAAGTGATGGGTCTGGTAACTGCATTTGAGGACTGAAACATGCTTCTTCCCTTCTAGATACACAATGTTTGATGCTGGTGCACAGTATACACACACGCACAACACTGTGTCTAAAATGATACACAAATACAAGAGATAGCCAAGTCCTGAAGGTAGATTCAGAGAATAGGGCTACCAAGACCAAGAGAGCAAATATCAATTTAAGAACACTTCTAACTTCAGAATTTCATTTCATTGAACAAACTTTTAAAACAAGCACCTCTTGGCAATAAAAGCAAAAAAAACAAACAACAAAAAAAACCCAATAGTACTCCTTTCCACTCTAATGGAAGACTTCTCACACCAGCCTGCTAAATGATGAAATTTTAAATAGGCAGCCTGCTGTGGCTATAAGCAGAGCTCAAATGCAGGTGTGCTGACTTCTTGGCGGAGGAGCAGAGGAAAACATCAAAAAGCAAATTTGGAATCTATCACAGCTTTCTTCCTTAAGCAAAAAAAAAAAATGCAAATTAGTTTTATAACCACAATTCAATTTATCAAACTTTTTTCTGAAGAATTTTCATTTAATTCTGTATACACAACAGGAAATAAAAACTTTTTCACAAACACTCTCAAGGCTTACAATTATCAAGAAAATGACAAAAGTAAAAGCAGGAGAAATATTAAACACATGGCGAGGAGGTCAATTTCTGTTTCTGCTCTTAAAAAGTAAAAAAATCACCATATAATTAAGTACAAAAACCTGCACTGAGTGACAACTGCTGGTGTATTTACTTGATCAGAAATGAAGACCAAGAATATAATAAAGCCCTATGATAATATTCATCTGGAGCACTCCTCTCAGTATGTGTACACTAACGTGTTGGCAAAGTTTCTGGAGCTTTAGCTTATATAAACACGGAGTCCTTGGTTAGCTGCATTAAATGGAACGTTCTCTTCTGAAATGTGCCCACAATTCAGTTTCACTTACAAATTGCAAACTAAAGTTATTTCTTCAGAAAAATATCTGTTTGGCATCTCCTGGACTTTGTTCCATTGGACAATATGGACATTTTAATCTAAAGATAAGAAAAAAAATGGAGAAAACATTAAATCGAGGAACAGGATCAGTACTAAGCATTCAATTTTCATCTAGTAACTACATCTTTAAAAATTATAGACACACAGAAACTCATAAACACAACATATGTGTCTTTGCTTTGCTTTGAGGATTAATATTAACTAAGCTTAACAGTCTCTTAATATTAACTAATTAATTGTTGTGAAGAGTCACAAACAATTACCAACCATGCCAGATCCTAACTAAAAGCCTCTTCTTCAGTGGAAATCAGTGAAAATTATTTTGTAAGTAAGCAAAGACTGCTTTTCTGAAAATTACTTCTGGAGTTTCAGCAGTAAATCCAACTTCTCCTCTCCAAAGATTAAGTTGCCCTGGCCTGTAAGTGGATTTTGAATACACCATGTCATATGATCCACTCATGGGCAGCAAATCTGATGCCAGCTGCAAGCCTATACCAAGAATGCCCCACTTGTTCCTCAGTGGCACAACACACCAGCACAGTCTGCACTAAGGTCAACAATCTATCTGGCACTTCTAGTCACCATCAATCTGCACTACCAGAGCTGCTTTATGTCTGAGAAGGGCACAAACCACTTCTTTACAAGCCAGGGCCTTTCCTTTAAAAGAAGGATCTTACTATATAACAGATCTGAACTGAACACCATTGAAAATAATTATAAATGTATATACCTCAGAATTAGCAATTCCAATTTTAGAATTTATTTATCACGTGTAAAGTAATTTACTTTAGGCCAGGTGTGGTGGCTCACACCTGTAATCCTAATACTCTGGGAGGCTGTGGTGGGCAGATTGCCTGAACTCAGGGGTTCGAGACCAACCTGAGCAAAAGTGAGACCCTGTCTCTACTAAAAAATAGAAACAAAACAAAACAAAACAACAAACCTAGGTACTTGGGGGGGCTGAGCCTGGAGGATCACTTGAGCCCACAAGTTTGAAGTTGCTGTGAGCTATGATGCCACAGCACCCTACTCAGGGCAACTGAGTGAGACTGTCTCAAAAAAAGGACAATGACTGGGTGCCCATAGCTCAGTGGGTAGGGCGCTGGCCACATACTCCAGGGCTGGGTGGTTCGAACCCGGCCTAGGCTTGCTAAAACAACAACAACAACAAAAAATAGGCAGGAGTTGTGTTGGACACCTGTAGTCCCAGCTACTAGGGAGGCTGAGGCAAGAGATTCACTTGAGTCCAAGAGTTTGAGGTTGCTGTGAGCTATGATGTCACAGCTATGATTACCCAGGGTGACCAGGTCTGTCTCAAAAAAAAAGGAACTTAAACACTAGAATAACAACTTAAATATTTATCCATAGGAAACTTTCTAAATAATCAAACTTCTATATGATAGAATACTCTGCAGTCTTTTTTTTTTGAGACAGAGTCTCATTTTGTAGCCCTCAATAGAGCACTGTGGTGTCATAGCTCACAGCAACCTCAAACTCTTGGGCTCAAGTGATTCTCTTACCGCAGCCTCCCAAGTAGCTCGGACTACAGGCGCCCACCACAATGCCTGGCTATTTTTAGAGATAAGGTCTCGCTCTAGCTCAGGCTGGTCTTGAACCCGTGAGCTCAGGCAATCTACCTGTCTCGGCCTCCCAAGTGCTAAGATTACAGCCACCACTTCCAGCCAATACTCTGCAGTCTTAAAAACAGAACAATGGCTCTTTCTGCAGCATATAAAAAGATCTCCAAGACTTTGTGTATCACTAAGTGAAAACACAGCAAAGTACAGAACAGTTTACAGGGGTATCCAACCATTTTTCTTTTCTGCTGGAAGAAGTAAGAGTTTTCTTGGGCCACACATTAAATACACAAACACTAAAAAAGCTGATTAGCAAAAAAAAAAAAAGAAAAGGTCTATGCACACTTTTCATGATATTGAACACCACAGATAACCAAAAAAGGTCCTCACAAAAGCAGCATGTGGCCTACAGGCTGGACACCCTTGGTTTACTGTATGCCACCATATGTATAAAGAGGGAGGGAAATGTATCACCTACTAAAAAGTTTAAAAAATCATGATTATAAATGTAATTACCAAATCAATAAATAAATTAAAAGGAATGCCAAAACACCAGATACCACCTACTTTGGCCAAATGCATAGTTAAGTAATCTATTGCTAAATCTGGATTTATTTAACCTCATTATTTCTTTTCTTCCTATCAAGTACCAAAATAAAATTTATTTACTAGTATATAAAAAGTCAGGCACTTACTTGCTACCATTAAACATTTTATTCAGAGCATCTCTTGATATAATATGACCACAGACCAATTTCATGGGTGGATTATTATCTGTCGTCTGCTGACGAAGAATGGGACAGGCAAATATAGAGTGATACCAACACTTTTTGCCAAGGTCTACTTCAATCTGTTTAAAAAAAAAAAAGGCAAAAAGGCTAAAGTTATATTTCAGAAAGCCATCCACACGGTAACATGCACTACACAGCAAACAACTTTTATGAGATCTACACATCTGAACCTAACCTTCTGCCGCACTCTAAATCAGAGACAGAAAGTCTTTAGGGATTTAAAGGGTTAAATTAACCTTTAAAATTATTTGTGACACTACTTTTCAAACCAAATTCTGATGTCTGAGAGCATCAAAAGCAAGGTGATAGTTTAGAAGTTAAACTCTTAACTTATATGTGTTAACTCAACTATTTTGTAGCACTTAGCTGGGTAATAAAATTCAGCACAGTAACGCCTTTAAAGGCAGGCTAAACATGGTTTACTTCTGTGTGCTCCAGATTTTCCCATGTTTTCTGTGTAATGGTCCAGAAAAACCACCTGAAATAGGGCTTTAAGGCAAGTTTCAACAGAGCCTTTTATAATTTGTATACTAAAGCCACAGGACTTATATCAACTGTTTCTCTTGCCTGCAAATGAAATAAATCATCTGAAAATTGAGAAATCATCTAGCAGAATGGCAGGCATATACAGAGGCTCCACAAATATCAGTTCTGAGGATTTTCTTTTCCTTCTAAATCTAAAAGGACTACCAATATAAAAGCCCATTTCCCAGACTCTTTGAAAAAAGTTGACTAAGTGTAATAAGAACAATCCTGATAAATGATGGTCAGATCACCACCTCCAACTGCCTTATGAGCCTGCCCCACAGGCTTCAGGCAAACTCAGAACTCATTCTTCTCTGTTCTAGTGTGCAAGTGTCAGAGATTCTAACAATGTAACTGGAAAAGTGACACATGCTGAGCACCTGCTTCAGCAAAGCCAAGTGAAGGCTCGAGTTTCTTTTCACTTGATCAAATGAGCAGCAGTGGAGAAGGGGTGTTGCTTGTGTCCTGACCACACATTGGACTGGGAATGCACCTGTGCCTTTAACCAGAAAAGATCTCTGAGAAGAAACTAGGGCAACCAACCGACAGGGTTGCCAGCTGGAAGAGCAAGGTAATTGCACAGCAGTGGCAGAAAAAAACAAAAAGCCAGAAGCACATTTTAGCCATTCAAGGTCTGTGACATAACGATGACAAAAATAATTCCAAGCAAGAATTTCAGTGTCTACTGTCAGAGGCTTGATGGGAAAACACATACCTTTAACACTCCAAGTCGTAACTGTACCATGGCAGCTACAATTTGAGTAACTATTATGTGTCCCATACTATTATTCTAAGCATAATTATCTTCTCTCTAGCCTAACCTTTAGCAATCAATTAAGACAAGGTTAGTCCCTATCTTAGAGATGAACAAACTACTGCTTAGAGAAGTTAGAGTTGACAAGTGATTGGTGCTGATGATTAAAGCTGAGGCCCTTTCCAAAGAGCAGTAGACACAGCACTGGGTGGTCTATAGTAACTGCAGCTGTTATGGGAACAACCTGTATTTTAATAGATCTATACATATTTTAATTGGTATTAGAAAAATATAACCAACAAAAACCTATGAACTCATCAACACCAATGCTTAAGACAACATTAAATCAAATTAAACTGACGCTGCTTTTATATTTAAAGAAATCATAGTAGAAATGTTTTGTGAACTGTATTGTAGAACACATTGCATGCTACAATATGTATGACCCTCTCCACTTCTGATGTTTTCCTTGATCAACTTTCAATGCCACTTGAAGTCAAAATTCTAAGAATACTCCTCTAGTGCCCCCCAAATATACTAGATTCCTCACTTCTATTATTCACTTGTGTCTACAGAGTCATAAAAGAACTCCTGTCAAATGGCTACAATAATTTAAGTGCCTAGTTAAAAGGAAAGATGACAGGCACTTTAAACCCTTAACACCCATATTCTTCTAAAGGCAAGAAGAGTAAATAGCCAATAGAAAATGGAACTCACAGGTAATTCATCTTTCTGGTTCCAAACTCCAGTACACTGCCTCTGTTCAATCACTGCTTTAATGTTAATTAAAGCTGGCAGTGCCACACAACCTGCTGAGAAACTGGGAAAGAGAGACAATGTCAGTGCCAGGCTAGATGTCAGGCCACTTGGTCTGAGGAGATGTCAGTTCCTCCAGATGCATGTGCTAAGGGCCCTGGCCACTGGAAAGGGCACAGAGCCTTCTGTTCAGTTAAAACCAAACCCAGCCATTTCTATTAGAAGAAAAAAAGCTTGTTTTCCCTCTCCTACTCCCCAAGCCCAATGGTATATCTGCAATTATGAGTCATTACAAAAAGTTTTAAGATAAACAAAAATCATGAACCATAACGTGCACGGATGAAAATAAATGAAAGTCTCTCTGCAACACTAAAAAGCTGAGCAAAATGAAGCTTGCAGAGTGAATCAGAAAGGATGTCGTTGACTGTGTCTCTTAGAAGCGAGATAATGGACCATAACATATGGTCTCAAAACTTCGTAGTGACCTACATACTAAAAAACAATTCTTGCCTTAAAAATAAATAAATAAAACCCTGTATTTATTAAATAAAACTTACTAATTATGAGAAATTTGCAGTAAGAAAATGTAATATTAAAAAAATACTAATTAAAACTGTCATTATTCAATAGGGACTTAATTTTAGCTTAATTTCTCAATAATTAGAAAACAAAATTTAAAAATATAGATTAAAAAAAAAAGCAGCTGTGGTGCCCAGTGTTGAAAAGGAGAACCAATCATTAAATGAAAGCAGTACGGAAGAGGAATTAAGAACTGCTCTTCTAAATACGGTGGTTTGAGCATCTGAGTTTGAAAGGAAAAGAGAAGTTCTTGCACAGAATTCTTTACTCAACAATAAATTTGCACAGAATTCTACACTCAACAATAAATAAGATGTAACATCCTTTTCCATCCTCTTCCTTACCAACTATATTATCAACATACTTAAATTTATTTTCCTTACAAAATTTGCTATAACCTATAGCTTACTAGAGTGATATCCAAAATGTGGTCTGCAGACTGGTGCTATAACACCATCTTTGGTCCAAAAGAAATTGAGATTTAACAATCTGGCATTGGTACCAAAAGTAAAAATCCTTATATTTCACAAAGATACCGGATTTAATGGCCTCTGCTTATCAGTCACCAGTGACATTCTTGCCCCTGAATCTTTTTTTTTTTTGCAGTTTTTCGCTGGGGCTGGGTTTGAACCTACCACCTCTGCCCCTGAATCATTTTTTTGCATCCTTCTCCCTCCATCCAAATCACCCCTGCTCAGGCTGGGAACACTCATTTCTCAGATCTGGAAGTATTGGCAGCCAACACTTCAGGACTGTCCTCAGTTGAAGAAAGTCACCTAATTACGGTCACACCCGGTGACTGCTCCACATGAGGATAAAAAGCCCCTGTATACCCAAGCTGGGACAACTCTACAGGCCTATCACAGTTCTAGAGCTCCTCAGAGATGGGTAGAGACCTTTGTTGTGACTGCTTTTCTCTGTGTCCCATCCTGCTGGCTTTTGTGCCCCTACAGGTACTAATCCCAAAAAACTTCCTGCATGCACACCCCATTTCAGGGTCTGTTTTTTCCCAAAATCCAACAGCAATACTGCCTCACGTTACAGTTGATTGCACTGGGTCTGTCTCCTACTCCATGTGGAACACCTATGGAATGCAGACTATACCTTATTCACCATTGTATCCCACACAGTTCCTGGTACCTAGCAGGTACCACTTGGGGGAATTAAATGAATACAAGAGCTAAAAGCTATATTCTTAAGACAGGTTCTTAAGCTTTTTGGCCTCAGGACCCCTTTAAATGCTCAAATATTAAGGTTCTAAGAGCTTTTGTTTTTGTGGGTGATAGCTATCATTATCTAATGTATTAGAAATAAAATAGGGTGGGGCCTGTGGCTCAAAGGAGTAAAGCACCGGCCCCATATGCCACAAGTGGCAGGTTCAAACCCAGCCCCAGCCAAAAACTGCAAAAAAAAAAAAAAAAAAAAAGAAAAAGAAAAGAAAACCGATTTAAAAGATATTTCATTTAAAAATAAACATACCATGTTATAAATAACATTCTTGTAAGAAATAATTACTTTCTCTGAAGTGCATTAATGTACATAGTTACCATTCAATTAAAAAAAAGAAATAATTACTTTCTCTTGTGAGAAGAGTGGTACTATTTTATACTTCTACAAATATCTTTAATGCCTACCTTAATAGATAGCTGGATTCTTACAATTGACTCTGCATTCAATTACAACATATTCTTCTGGTTGAAGTACATGGAAAAAAAAATCTAGCCTCATACAAATTTGTAGTACTTGAATTGCCTTCAGATCACTATGGATATCCTTTACTACCACAGGCAGTAGTTTAGTACCCTGCTACATTAAAATCCATTGATCTACCTTGTACTTTATGTTGACTTATGCATGCCTCATTTTTAAAGATGATACTGAATTACTAAATGTTTCATTCCATTATACAATCAAATTCATTAATATCCCCACCAATCTCATTAGAAAAGCCTTTGAGTATGGAGAAGCTCACAACAGAGGTTACAAGTCTCCCAAAATTTCAATTTTAGCTCGAAAAAATCTTAAACATCCTACTCACCCTCACCCCTTGCCAAAAGCCAAACCAACCAATAAACGAATTATTTCGAACTTTATCATCATGGTAGGATACTGTCAGTTGTTTCCTTGCTGTAACAAGCTTTCTTCATTTATTTTACTAATGGCTAAATGGGGGCTGGGCACAGTGGCTCATGCCTGTAATCCTAGCACTCTGGGAGGCCAAGGCGGGAGGACTGCCTGAGCTCATGAATTTGAGACCAGTCTGAGCAAGAGCTAGACTCTGCCTCTAAAAATAGCTGGGTGTTGTGGTGGGTGCCTGTAGTCCCAGCTACTTGGGAGGCTGAGGCAAGAGAATAGCTTGAGCCCAAGAGTTTGAGGGTTACTGTGAGCTATGACACCAAGACACCCTACTGAGGGCAACAAAATTAAGACTCTGTCTCAACAACAACAGCAACAAAAAGAAAAGTTTGAATGTGGTGGTGTGCACAAGTAGTCCCTGCTACTTATCCAGGAGTCTGAATCCAACCTGGGTAACACAGGGAGACTCTATCTCTTAAAAAGACAGCAAACAATTAAAAAATGCCAAAAACCTGAGTATAACTTGTAGTTTGTCTGTTATTCTTTCAAGTAAAAATTGCATTTCATGAAAAAAAGTGATTGGGTTACCTCTTAAGCAACATACAATGCTTTGTCTTTTTTTTTATTATTATTAAATCATAGTTGTGCACATTAATACTATCATGGGGTACAGTGTGTTGGACAATGCTTTGTCTTAAGACAGTCATAGGCTTGGTGCCTGTAGCTCAAGTGGCTAGAGCACCAGCCACATACATGAGAGCTGGCAGGTTTGAATCCAGCCCAGGCTCACCAAACAACAATGATGATAACTACAACCGCCACCCCACCCCACAAAATAGCTGGGCGTTGTGGCAGGCACCTGTAGTCCCAGGTACTTGGGAGGCTGAGACAAGAGAATCACTTAAGCCCACGAGTTTGAGATTGCTGTGAGCTGTGACGCCACAGCACACTACCCAGGGCAATAGCTTGAGATTCTGTCTCAAAAAAAAAAGACAATCATACTTGGGCAGGAAACTAAAGTGCTTTACATAAATTTTCTATTTTGTCATAGAAATATTAAAATAAGTGTACTCAAAGGTCAAAATTAATAAAGCTAATAATTTTTAACATCTCATCAAGAACATTCTTGAGTGTTGGGGGATTTTTTTTTTTTTTTTTTGAGACAGTCTCACTCTGTCACCCTTGGTAGAGTGCTATGGCATCACAGCTCACAGCAACCTCAAACCCTTGAGCTTAAGTGATTCTCTTGCCTGAGCCTCCCAAGTAGCTGGGATTACAGGTGCTTGCTACAATCCCCGGCTATTTTTTTGTTATTGTTGTCGTTGTTTAGCAGACCCTGGCTGGGTTTGAACCCACCAGCCCTGGTGCATGTTGCTGGCACCTAAACTACTAGCTACAGACCCTGAACCAATTATTATTATTATTTTTCTTTTTAGAAGACTGGGGTGTCATTATGTTGCTCACACTGGCCTCAAGCGATCACTCCACCTCAGCCCCTTTAGTAGCTGGGATACAGGTGCATACCACCATACCCATTTAAATCTAGCATTTCTTTTTTTTTCCCAGACAGTCTCACTTGGTCACCCTTGGTAGAGGGCCGTGGCATCTTAGCTCACAGCAACCTCAAACTCTTGGGTTCAAGTGATCCTCCTGCCTCATCCTCCCAAGTAGCTGGGACTTACAGGAGCCTGACATAACACCCAGCTGTATTTTAGAGATGGGGGGGGGTCTTGCTCTGGCTTAGGCTGGTCTCAAACCTGTGAGCTCAGGCATCCCCTGGCCTGGGCCTCCCGAGTGCTAGGATTACAGGCGTGAGCCACTTCGCCCGGCCCTTTCTTTCTTTTTTTTTTTTTTTTTTTGAGACAGAGCCTCAAGCTGTCCCCCTGGGTAGAGTGCCGTGGCATTACAGCTCACAGTAACCTCCACTCCTGGGCTCAAGCGAGTCTCCTGCCTCCGCCTCCCAAGCAGCTGGGACCACAGGTGCCCGCCATAGCGCCCGGCTATTTTTTGGTTGCAGCCGTCATTGTTGTTTGGCGGGTCCGGGCTGGGGATTCGAACCTGCCACCTTAGGTGTACGTGGCTGGCGCCTTAGCCAGTTGAGCTCTAGGCGCCGAGCCACCCGGCCCTTTCTTTTGGAGACTATGTCTTGTTCTGTCTCCCAGGATAGAATGCGGTGGCACCATCATAGCTCACTGTAACCTCAAAATCTTGGGCTTGAGCCTGTCCCAGCCTCTCAAGTAGCTCCAACTATAGAGATGTGCCACCACTCCTGGTCTCCTCTTCCTTAGGCAGGTCTTAAACTCCTGGCCTCAAGTGATCCTCACCTCTGGCCTTAACCTCCCAGAGTGTTAGGATTATAGTCTTAAATCACAAGTATGTGGTGGTGAGGAATACAGCAAGTATCTGCCTCTGCCTCAACTTAAGCTAAGGCTCCAGCAGGTTAGCCCATCATTGTTTTGTACTGTGTAAACATCAACAGTGTAGACAAGCTCTTGAGATCCCCTGAGGTTCACCAAGACCCCATTTTGAGAACCATTGCCTTAAAACTGTAATGATCTCTTGAAATACCAATTGCATTTTTCTTTAGAAAGACAAAAGTTTTCTTGACTTTAAATATGAAGAACCAGACAAGTTAAAGGTAGGTAACCAATGCATATTTCAATAGCAAACAGAGCCAATATCCATACCTGACACTGAGAGGGGACTCCACAGAGAGCCCCAGAAGGGCACAAGCATCCCGGGTAAAGATGTCACAGATATCAGCCCACTGGTTTGCATCAAGCAGGTGAACATATGGTGAGTTCTCAATCCCTTGTCTGAGATACACAAGGCTTCCCATCAAAACCTGAATGTCTAAATGAAAAAGCATTAGCAAAAAAGGCATTAAAGCAGCATTTTTCAATCTTTTTCAACTCATGGCACACTTGAACCTATAGTTAAACTTCTGCAGCACACTTAATTATGTTGGTTTTAAAAAGGAGCAAAACAAAATAATATATAACGCTTTTCAAAAATAATTTAATTAATGATCTTTAAAAAATTTTCATGGCAGGCAGTGCCTGTGGCTCAAAGGGGTAGGGTGCCAGCCCCATATGCCAGAGGTGGAGGGTTCAAACCCAGCCCCAGCCTTTAAAAAAAATTTTTTTTCCATGCCACACCAGTGAGCCACAGCATACCAGTTGAAAATCAGTGCATCAGAGTTCGCTTGTAGGTAACAAGCCAAGAAAGGTAAGAATATCCCCCACCCAAACAATATAGCCTAAAATAGTATTAGGTTGGTGGAAAAGTGATTGTGGTTTTTTGCTCTGTTCAAATAGGTCAAAAAGCAGCAGAGACAACTTGCAATGTCAACGATGCATTAGGCTCAGGAACTGCCAACGAACGTACAATACAGTGGTAGTTCCCTAAGTTTTTCAAAGGAGATGAGAGCCTTGAAGATGAGGAACTTAGTGACCAGCCATAGGAAATTGACAATAACTAAGAGCAATCATCAAAGCTGATCCTCTAACAACTACACGTGAAGTTACTGAAGAAGTTGCCAAAAAATGCAACCATTCAACAGTTGTTCAGCATTTGAAGCAAATGGAAAGTTGAATAAAAGCTTGATAAGTAGGTGACTCATGAGCTGACCAGAACAATCATCATTTTCAAGTGTTGTCTTATTTTACACAACAAACCATTTCTCCATTGGATTGTGATGAGCAACAAAAAATGGATTTTATACGATAAGCAGTGGCAACCAACTCAGTGGCTGGACTGAGAGGAACCTCCAAAGCACTTATTAAACCCAAACTTGCACCAAAAAAGGGTCATGGTCATTGTTCGGTGGTCTGCTGTCAATCTGATCCACTACAGCTGTCTGAATCTTGACCAAATCTTTACATCTGAGAAGTATGTTCAGCAAACCCATGCGATGCACTAAGAACTGCAACGCCTGCCACTGGCACTGGTCAACAGAAAGGGCCTCATTCCTCTCCAGGACGATGCCTGACTGTATATCGCACAACCAACACTTTAGAAATTGAACAAAATGGGCTACAAAGTTTTGCCTCATCCACCATATTCACCTTACCTCTCACCACCCACTACAACTTTTTCATGCGTCTAGACAATTTTTTTTTGCAAGAAAACACATCCACAATCAGCAGGATGCAGAAAATACTTTCTAAGAGTTTGTAGAGTCCTGAGGCACAGATTTTTTTTTTTTTAAATGCTACAGGAGAAACAAACTTCTTTTTTTTTTTTTTGGAAACAGAACCTCAAGCTGTCCCCCTGGATAGAGTGCCGTGGCATCACGGCTCACAGCAACCTCCAACTCCTGGGCTCAAGTGAGTCTCCTGCCTCAGCCTCCCAAGTAGCTGGGACCACAGGCGCCCACCACAACGCCTGGCTATTTTTTGTTTGCAGCCGTCATTGTTGTTTGGCGGGCCCGGGCTGGATTTGAACACGCCACCTTAGGTGTATGTGGCTGGCGCCTTAGCCACTTGAGCCACAGGCACCGAGCCAACAAACTTATTTCTCATTGGCAACAATGTGTTGACTGTAATGGAACCTATTTTGATTAATAATGATGCGCTGGAGCCTAGTTATAATGATTTAAAATCCATGGTCCCAAACTGCAATTACTTTTGCACCAACCTAATATATTAACAATGTCTTGAAATTCTGGTCCTTAAGCTTGGCTTCTTCCCTCACCCCAAAGTAAAGTAAAGACCACGGAGAGAAAGGAAGAAAGACAAAGCACAGAAAACACTGAACTTACAATTTTTTAATTCTTATCCACAGTACATACAGTACTATTACCATTTCTAGGAGAATAACAATTATGTCATCCCCCATCTTTGGTGCAGGCTAGCCAGCGCTCCTACACTGACACGTGGGGTTAACACCTGCCACCCTGGCCCTTAGACACTTTGTCATGCAATAACAGCAGCATAAAGTGAGATAAAGATGGGGAAAGGGTAAATGCACACCTCAGTCTTCCTCACGTTTCCTCTTAGTTTAATATGGAATCCAAAATCTGCTGTCTTTTTGGATTTCTCACTTAAGAGGCTTTAAAGTTTCACTTTTGTTCTAAAGCTAGTCAGAGATTTTTAAGTGATTACCATCTATAATTGTTTTAGTTTATTAGCCAATGTGTATTATATACAGTTAAGATAAATTACACTGGTGTAATTACTATAGCCCTGTTCCAAACATTAAAAACATCTGACTACAGACTCACCTTTTTGATGATTTAGGGCAAATGGCTGAAAATTTTTAGCATACTGTAATGCCTCGCGTTGATTTGTAGTTCCACCCATTAACAAGCTAATGAAATACAGTCTGTGTAGCTTAAATTCTAAGGAGCTGTTTTGGGCTATAAGCATTTCTCGGTTCGAAACTGCCCACCTAAAGAAAAAGCAAACAGGATTTTAACAATAATCAAGCGCATAAGCAAGGTGTGATAAAAATAGTTTGAAACCTCGTAACACAAAAAAGGGGTTTTGCCTGCCATCTTGTGGAGGTCTGTCATAACATCAATACTCAGACTAAGAATTTGTAAAGTAAAGAAACATAATACCAACTATACCTAAAAAGGCCCTTTCAGTCAGTGAAAGAAAAAATATTAAGTTAGGTGACAATTACATATTTATGAACGTTTTAAAACTAGACAAGAATTACTCTGACATATCACATTATAATGGACTTGAACTTGTACAAGGCCATACTGTGAAGCAGGTATCAGCCTAAATTGCCTAGATCCACTAATCTTTTCCTGTTAAAATGGCATGTTTGTATATGAATAAATGGTTCTGAGGAGAACCACTGTGCTACTCACTTTGTGATTAAAAACAGAAAAAACGCAGTTATTTCCCCTCAAGATGCTTTCAATCTAATGAAGAAAGATAAAGCTAGAGAAATACACAGTACATCTTACTGTGCCAAAATGATTTGTACAAATCTAGTACTAATAAGGAAAAAAATAAGATTCAACTTTGAATGATCTAAAGCAGCAGTTCTCAACCTGTGGGTAGCAACCCACAGGAACTGTATTAAAGGGCCGCAGCATTAGGAAGGTTGAGAACCACTGATCTAAAGTATAGAGACTCAAGTCTCTACAGAATAAAATAGCTGGTATAACCAATCTTGAGCTGGGATCACCAGGTCTGACGAGGACTAAAGCAGAAAAGTATACAGGTAACTGCTAAAATAAAATTTTGCGGGAGGAGGGAGGGGGAGAGGGAAGAAGGGAGGGGACTTGGTGTGCCCCCACCTAACAGGTACAATGTTAAGAGTATATGGTACATCTCCTGGGAGTGAGACACAACTCCATCAGGGAGATTACTGTAAACTAATTGTCCCCTCATATTGATCTGAAATTTAAAAAGACACATGCAAACTAGAAAAAAAATCAGATTTTGCAATAAGGTGATAAGGAAGCACTACTTTATTTCTCTAAACATATTAAAATATAGAAGCTATTAATATCACATTATATGAATTTAACCATCATCCTGTAATCCAATTCACCAAAGACCTCTGGAATCTGAATTGGGTATAAACATAAAATCTGAGTAATTCCATAAACCACAAGAGTAGAATCTTTCAAGTTATTGTAATGAATCAGTTGACTGGACTGAACTTTACAGAGCTGCACCTTTACTGCACCTTTGGAAAATGATCCTGCCCTTTAAACATTCTAATTAACTTGTTACGGCATTTATATCTTAAGAGTCAATTCATGAGATTCTCTGACCTCAAAGTGATTTTTAATGTATTACATGTCTGGACCTTGGGCACATTTACTAAGTAAACTGTGGATCCCTGCTTGGCAATAGGATGAGTACTGTCAAGTTGGTATGCCAAGTTTAGTAAACTTGCTGACACCAAATGGTACTCTGGCAACAATCTTTTATGAATACCTCACACCAACAGTTATCAATAGTACTGTGTTTTGCCATCTCTAGTCTATCAGGCATCTTATAGATTGAGTTCCAAGTATTTAAACAGGTCTCTTTCCAGTATCCCAAACTCTCACCCATAAAAGCATGAATATGTTTTCCTACTAACAAGAAAGGAGAGGCAGTGAACTTTTTCTTTTTTGTTTCTGGTACATGTTCAAGAGTTTGTAAAGTCAAAAAAGGGAACAAAATAGAGTAACTACAAATTTTAACCAAAGATAAAAAGCCAGGCGGGGCGTGCTGGCTCACTCCCGTAATCCTAGCACTCTGAGAGGCCTAGGTAGGTGGACTGCCTGAAGCTCACAAGTTTGAGATCAGCTTGAACAAGAATGAAACCCACCCCCCCACCCGCCGTCTCAAAAAAGAAAAAAAAAAAAAAGAGGTCAGGCATTATGGCAGGCGCCTGTAGTCCCAGCTGCTTGGGAGGCTAGAGGCAAGAGAATCACTTACAGCCAAGAGTTGGAGGTTGCTGTGAGCTTTGACACCACAGCACTCTACTGAGGGCAACAAAGTGAGACTCTGTCTCAAAAAAAATAAATAAATAAAAGCTAACAGAAAATAGGTAAAGACCATAGCAAATGATTCACCAAGGAAGAAAACAATCTCATTTTCATAGGCAAATGTTCACAATATAGTATTAAAAAGGGGAAAGTGTGACATATAGAAAAAATAACTTTAGTCATCAGTATTTTTAACAATAATGATGCCAAGAAGGTATTATTTATTTATTTATTTTTTTTTGAGACAGAGCCTCAAGCTGTCCCCCTGGGTAGAGGGCCATGGCATTACAGCTCACAGCAACCTCCAACTCCTGGGCTCAAGCGAGTCTCCTGCCTCCGCCTCCCAAGTAGCTGGGACCACAGGCGCCCGCCACAACGCCTGGCTATTTTTTGGTTGCAGCCGTCATTGTTGTTTGGCGGGTCCGGGCTGGGGATTCGAACCCGCCACCTTAGGTGTACGTGGCTGGCGCCTTAGCCGGTTGAGCTATAGGCGCCGAGCCGAAGGTATTATTTATTAACTGCTGTAGCATGAGCTTTCAGAACAAGGCCACCAACTATTAGACCAGCACCAAGACTGAAACCACTGGAAGACATATCAATAAAACCAGTGGAACAGCACTCCACATTACAATTGTTTTTATAATAGTCTATGCTAGCCTATATTTTCCAATTTTTCTGTAATGAACATGTATTGCCTTTATACTTGAAAATGAAACAAAACTTCTTAACTTCCCATTTTCATGAAAGGGCCAGAGTAACTCCAAATTACTTTTCCTAAAAGTAATCCAAGTTATGAATTACGGATTCAAGCTTTTCAAGTAATGAGTATTTGTAACTCCATTTAACTTAGGCATTTTAGACAACATAATTTTTCATTTACTAATTGAATTTATTTTTATGTATATTTTCAAATTTTGCTATGAACATGGTTATACAATAATCAGAAAAATATTAGCATTGCTTTATTCTTCCCAACTCCTTGCCAAGAAATGTTTATAAAGGTAAATAGCTACCCTTACAAAAAGAAGAGTGGGGAGGATACCACAGAACTGAAATTCATAGAAAACTAGTTTTACATTCCCTTAAGTCTAAATATTGGTGGGTGAGGTGGCTGAAGTCTGTAATCCTAGCACTCTGGGAAGCCAAGGCGGGTGGATTGCCTGAGCTCACCAGTTTGAGACCAGACTGACCCACAGCAATACCTGGTCTCTAAAAACAATAACCAGGCATTGTGGCGGGAGCCTCCATAGTCCCATCTACTCAGGAGGCTGAGGCAAGAGAATCACTTGAGCCCAAGAATTTGAGGTTGCTGTGAGCTATGGCACAATAGCACTCTTAATGAGGGTGACAAAGCGAGACTCTGTCTCAAATAAAAAACAAAAAAGACTAAGTATCCTAAGGCAAGGGACTTGCTAACCTTTTTCCCCGCTAGGAAAATGTCATTTTCTAAGCTAAGGATGACATACTCCATTTTTACTCCTATTAACGTTTAGGCATAAAGGCGAATCTCATGCCTAATAGGTCTTTTTCACACCCCTTCCATAGAATTGTACCCAGAAACCCACATTTTTATTTTTTTGACTTCACTTCAGTGGGCAGAGTTAACTGGCCAGATAAGCACAGGTTTTATTTAAAGTCACTCTCCGCAGTTGCCTCTTAATAAGATCGTCAATTTATCTTTAACTCTATGACCACTTCATAATCCTATGACTTTCACTAAGTTTTGATGGGGTTGCCTTCTGTGATAATCATTGTAACATCTGCCTTTAACTAACCCTTTGGAATCTGGATACAAAAGTCACAGCAGCATTCTTATTCACACTACTAGTCTCCCGGATAGTTTAACATTAGTGAGTTTGTGACAACAAAAAATGATGAAAACAGCTTTAATTAAGTAAAGTTCTTCAATATCCTTTAATCACCATGTCCTTTCAATGAGATAACTATTACCACTACAACACTCTGGCCTGAATGTTAGCTGAACTGACTGGTATTTTTACACATCCAATTTCACTTTCAGCAATTTATCTTTGTTCCATTTTTGTAAAATGTCACCCTGATTTGTCACTGAGAGATAAAGGGGCAATACAACTACACATGTGCTGATATGCAGGTGGATTGAACAGCAGATGCAGTAAACAATCACTGACAGACTCAGGAAGAAGTAGCATGACTGGTCATGACCATGATGCACATCTGTTACTTATGTGCTGACTATGGACTAAAGAGGCAGAAGTTTCCACTTAATATACCAGAGTTAATGTACCTTAGTGACTGAAATTTGAACCCTGTTGTTAGAGGTCTGGTATTATTTAACTAACTGTGGTAAATCAAATTTATGCAAGTTGGAACCATGCAGACAGGACTACCATGGACTCAATAGCAAAGACAAACAGGAGAGAAAGAACACAAGAATCTCAGAGATAGGAGGTTTCTTTCCCAGAATGGTACAATGAAGAAAGATGCAAAGTTGAAAGAATTGAGCAAGTCAGGGTATGTATGGCCCATTATCAAGAATCTTAAAGAATCAAAAAGAAAATAAGACTAGTTTTCTATTTCTTACCAAGATTCTTATGCCTTCTCCATCCAGCCCACTTCCTTTTTTAAGAGGAAAGCAGGCTGGGCTGGAAAACTAAAAGGTTTGTGCCAGGAGGAAAAATTATGTAACCCAGGAATAAGAAAGCAGTGGTTGGTCAGTAGCATAAATCAAAAGCATTTGTCATGTGATATAAAGAGATAAAGAAGGAAAACAACAGGCCTGCTGAGAACAGAAAATGGAGGTGGAGGGAGATATAGGCCAAAAAATACATGCAAACATATTTGGATAACCTAAATCTATAATAGCAACTGGCAATTGCCAGCAACAGTGACGTGTCCTGGTATTTAAAGCTGGTCCAGGTAGGAAACTTGTTTCCTCTGTGAAATTAGAAGCTGTGATACTTCTCCC